ACTATAATAAGAACCGTGTTTGGATTTTGCAATCGCTCAGTGCCTGCCACGAGCGTGGTACCACGGTAGATTCACATGCTATGGTTGGGTGTGGCAAAATGTCACAGAGTTCAGTGGCTATAGGGAGCTCTTAGTATCGTGTGGTCACACACAACATGCCTGTGTATATGTATATGCTCGTGTGTTTGTGTATATATAGGTGGATTTAGCCTCAAATGAGTACTTGGTGCGGTGTGTAAAACATTGCCACTCGGGAGACAAAGGCGGTCGGGTGTGGTGCTGGCCACCCACCCCCTCGTGTGCCGTGCCAGCCTTCGTAGGTGCTCGCTAACAGCGTTTGCCCCAACAGTTTGTTCAGGCTATACGGGGGATCTTTGTTTTTGTCATGCCCGTGTGTGTGTGTGTGCACGCTGGTATGCATGCCATGTGTGGAGTGTGGTAACACGGTGGTTAGCGCACTGCACTGTAAACACGGTAACTGGAGTTCCATGCTTGGCCAAGACTAACATAAGTTGGAAAGTGGTATCCGATCCTGGCCTACACCTCCCATAGGTTTGCTTAGTCTAAAATGAGTACCTTGTGTAAACCATCGTACAGGGTACACAAAGGTGGCCAGGTGCGGTGCTATCTATACAACCCCTTTTCTGCATTATACCGCCTTCAATAGTTGCTCCTTAACATCACTTGCCCCAACACTCTTCATATGTAGAGGGAGATCTTTGTCTTCGTGTGTAATGTACTGTACCTGTGTGTGCGTGTATATGTCGATGCAAATGTGTGTGTGTATAATTCTTCATGTTTGCTAGTGAATTAAAAGCCTGTAGTTTAATTCTGCAGAAGTCTTCGAATTGGCAAGGGGGCTTTGGGAATCGTGCCAGGGCTGATATTGCTTCACAAGACAAATTCAATTAAACTTTACAAAGTCACGTACTCGTGTCTGTCAAGCGCTAGCGTTGTTCCTTTCTTGTTTGGATGGCTGCAATAAGCCATTTCAATCCACTGCTGTAATGTAGTTTTGCATTTTCTTTGGTTCTTTCGGTAAAGTCACGTAGAATGAGAATAAAATAATAAATTGATCAAATAAAATAATACAATAATATTCTCACGACGTTTTGGCCACAACACAAGCGGCCTTCATCAGGTGAAGGGACGAGACTGTCTGGAGGACAGCGCTGTGACTTTACCGAAAGAACCAAAGAAGATGAATCCTTGCAGTCACGAAAGCTTTAAATCGAAATTTAGTTTTGCATTTTTAAGTCAGTGGGAACATAGCTTCTTCTTTGCATTGTCCCATTTATGAGGTCGGCAGCTCCGCTTCTCCTTCTTCTCCTGCTATAGGCCAATGATCGCCACATCCTCCTCGACTTTGTCTCTTCATCTCATCTTTGCTCTTTCTATTCGTCTTTTGCTGTGCACGTCCATCTGCAGATCTCTCCGTCCCACATTTTCAGGACCTGTCCCTCGGATCTGTCACCACCACCTCAGCTGCGCTTCTCTCGTCGTTGTGATTGATTTCCTGCACCCTTCATTGTTTCTCTAATCTTCTCATTTCGAATTCTATCTGCTTTGGTTTTTCACAAGGAACATTTTAAACATTCTGATTTCCTCTGTGTGTAACATCTGCTCTTTCTTTGCTGTGCCAGCATTCAGACCCATTTGTCATGCCTGGTCTAAATACATACTTCTAGATCTTACTTTTCAATCTCACAGGCATCACTTGTCACTTGCACAGGCCACTATCAATCCCATTCCTTACATCTGCTTCCAATCCACCGTCACTACGCATTATTGACCCAAAGTACTTAAACCGACTTACTCCGTTTAGTTCCTCACCACCCAAAAATCCAAAGGCTGGACAATGTAATGTTACGAGGTTTTGCATCTCGTTAAGCCAGCGATATTTGTAAGTTAAGTGGTAACGTATATTTCGATTTAAAGCTTTCGTGACTGCAATGATTCATCTTCTTTGGTTCTTTCGGTAAAGCCACGTAGAATGAGAATAAAATAATAAATTGATAAAATAAAATAACACAATATTCTCACGACGTTTCGGCCACAACACAAGCGGCCTTCATCAGGTGAAGGGGGCGAGACTGTCTGGTCACTCCAGCGCTGTCCTACCAGACAGTCTCGCCCCCTTCACCTGATGAAGGCCGCTTGTGTTGTGGCCGAAACGTCGTGAGAATATTATTGTGTTATTTTATTTTATCAATTCATTATTTTATTATCATTCTACGTGGCTTTACCGAAAGAACCAAAGAAGATGGTAACATATACGCAAGTTAAAAAGAGTGTGAGTTTATTTTAACACGATGTGTCTAAACTAAACTACAGTACATGAGCCTCTAGAGGGAGCTCTCTAGACCAGCCTCTAGTAAAGGCCCTTTCAGAACAACAAGTGACGTCACACTGGTGGCAGTGGCGATTTGGGTTTGGTTGGCGGCTGTTTGTGCCGCGTCGACTGGCGTGCCTATTCACAATCAATTTCTACTTGTTTTAGTTCTTTTTTTTCCCCCAAGTGAATTCCAATTGTGTCTATCGGCATCACATTTCAACGTGAGGATATTTTCATTTGGAACTCGAGCAGATGGAAGTGCACCCACCCTGCTTCGGAGAAATACCCTGGGGAAGATGATGTTACATAACTGCTTCCGAAGCCACTTCGGAAGCCTCGATCCACACGAGAGGCAGATTTTTTTGTTTGTTGGTAATACGCCATATAGCTCAACAAGAGTAAAATTTTTCCTTTTCTCACAACCGGAATCGGCCAAATATAGTGACAACCCATAATGGAACCTGATGTAGTTTTTGTCCTGTTTTTTTTTTAGTGACTCGGGCGGAGACCGTCGGCTCCCCCACCGCATTCAGAAACCTGATTTAATCATTGCGTGATTGAAACTCGCATTGAAATCCAGGATTTGCCTTCCCCCGACTCGTGGTGGACACGGTATGACGGGGCCGAGCCGTGCTGCTCACAGAACACGGCGGTGTACCACTGAGTAAGCCGTGCTGCTCACAGAACACGGTGGTGTACCACTGAGTAAGCCGTGCTGCTCACAGAACACGGCGGTGTACCACTGAGTAAGCCGTGCTGCTCACAGAACACGGCGGTGTACCACTGAGTAAGCCGTGCTGCTCACAGAACACGGCGGTGTACCACTGAGTAAGGCGTGCTGCTCACAGAACACGGTGGTGTACCACTGAGTAAGCCGTGCTGCTCACAGAACACGGTGGTGTACCACTGAGTAAGCCGTGCTGCTCACAGAACACGGTGGTGTACCACTGAGCAAGCCGTGCTGCTCACAGAACACGGTGGTGTACCACTGAGTAAGCCGTGCTGCTCACAGAACACGGTGGTGTACCACTGAGTAAGCCGTGCTGCTCACAGAACACGGTGGTGTACCACTGAGTAAGCCGTGCTGCTCACAGAACACGGCGGTGTACCACTGAGCAAGCCGTGCTGCTCACAGAACACGGTGGTGTACCACTGAGTAAGCCGTGCTGCTCACAGAACACGGTGGTGTACCACTGAGTAAGCCGTGCTGCTCACAGAACACGGTGGTGTACCACTGAGTAAGCCGTGCTGCTCACAGAACACGGTGGTGTACCACTGAGTAAGCCGTGCTGCTCACAGAACACGGTGGTGTACCACTGAGTAAGCCGTGCTGCTCACAGAACACGGTGGTGTACCACTGAGTAAGCCGTGCTGCTCACAGAACACGGTGGTGTACCACTGAGTAAGCCGTGCTGCTCACAGAACACGGTGGTGTACCACTGAGTAAGCCGTGCTGCTCACAGAACACGGTGGTGTACCACTGAGTAAGCCGTGCTGCTCACAGAACACGGTGGTGTACCACTGAGTAAGCCGTGCTGCTCACAGAACACGGCGGTGTACCACTGAGTAAGCCGTGCTGCTCACAGAACACGGTGGTGTACCACTGAGTAAGCCGTGCTGCTCACAGAACACGGTGGTGTACCACTGAGTAAGCCGTGCTGCTCACAGAACACGGCGGTGTACCACTGAGTAAGCCGTGCTGCTCACAGAACACGGTGGTGTACCACTGAGTAAGCCGTGCTGCTCACAGAACACGGTGGTGTACCACTGAGTAAGCCGTGCTGCTCACAGAACACGGTGGTGTACCACTGAGTAAGCCGTGCTGCTCACAGAACACGGCGGTGTACCACTGAGTAAGCCGTGCTGCTCACAGAACACGGTGGTGTACCACTGAGTAAGCCGTGCTGCTCACAGAACACGGTGGTGTACCACTGAGTAAGCCGTGCTGCTCACAGAACACGGTGGTGTACCACTGAGTAAGCCGTGCTGCTCACAGAACACGGCGGTGTACCACTGAGTAAGCCGTGCTGCTCACAGAACACGGTGGTGTACCACTGAGTAAGCCGTGCTGCTCACAGAACACGGTGGTGTACCACTGAGTAAGCCGTGCTGCTCACAGAACACGGTGGTGTACCACTGAGTAAGCCGTGCTGCTCACAGAACACGGTGGTGTACCACTGAGTAAGCCGTGTGCCAGCAACGCGCCGTGCGTGAGCTGCTCGATGCTGGACAGGAGCAGGATAACCGCGCACGCCAATTCGTATGTTCCCACTGATTAATACGCTCATTTCAAAATGCTTCACACAAAATCCATCTACCAGATCGCAAAAATGATTGCAAACTCAGATGAATACTTCATTAGACATTCCTTTGCCAGTACCAAAATATAATAATAGGGTTTTTCCCCTTTTTTTCTGGCAACAAAACTGAAACCTTTTTTTACAAGGATTCACGTTACTGCATTAACCACAATACCTGCGGTCGAAATGCAAACAAAAAACATACTATGATAATATATGCATTGTCCTTGAAGCTGATTGGTCCACACCAAGGGCCTGCTTGGTGTGGACCAATCAAGGGACGGCTTGGTGTGGACCAATCAGTTTCAAGGACAATGCACATATTATCATAGTGTGTTTTTTTGTTTGCATTTTGACTGCAGGTATTGTGGTCAATGCATTAACGTGAATCCTTGTAAAAAGGTTTAAGTTTTGTTGCCAGAAAAAAGGGGGAAAACCCCCTATTAAGATGAATACTGTACAAATGTTTAATGGTGAGCAAGCCAAAACCCACGTACAATCTGTGAGCGTTACACAATTACAAATCGGCTCTCTGTGCACATCGTGTCATTATTTTGGTCGTGGTAAAAAAAAAACACACACGATGGGCCATGGTCTTGTACAAGTATCAGCTCGACTGGAGGGATGCAGATGTGACATCAGGGTGTATCAGCTGTAACGAGCGCCGCCTCTCTCTTGATGTTGCGCCAATTTGTTCTGGTGAGCAGGGACCGGTCAACACACATCGTCCTTTGACTCCTCCGTTTAATCTTCTCGGATTCCCCCACCACCACCTCGTGCCTGCGGAAGCCCGCATTCTTCCCAGCCACGGTGCGGACGTGCAATCCGCTCACGTGCCATGTAACAGAGCACGCTGCATAGAGGAACGCATCTGGCTTCCCTTCCGCACGCGGCGACCGCTGCCTGTCCCTTGTAGCTTGCTGTCATTGTAAAACAGGGCTTGGTTTCATACAGGTCTGTCGAGGTCAGGGGCGACCCAGACAATATGTGTGTGTGTGTGCGCGCGCACCAGCCTCTGTACAGGCGGCACTATAAATGGGTACGTTACGTGATGATGGGCGGGGGTGGGGTGGGTAAAGTGTAGGTACTCGCAGCTCTTTGAAGACGTCTGGCGAGCATGGAAGAGTGGGGGGACACAGATATCCTCCGGAGAGAGCGGCTCTATAGAGCGTCCTCTAATGTGGAGGCTCTGATGATGCCAGTCGTGGCTTGAGAAAACAATTGCAGCCGGTGCACCTTTTTTTACCTCTTTGTATCCGGTTACTCCGCTTCCAATATACTGTACCTCTCACTGTGGCTACGAGACACGTGTCTACTGCCGGAAAAAAAAATCGGTGAGAAATTAAGCCCCGATTGTAAATGCTTTGTTGACTTTGTTTGATGTCAACAAATATTGCGGCTGCCATCCTCCCCCCCCCACCTGGTTGTGATCGTGAGAACAGTAGTGTGAACCTGTTCACATTTTTGTTCTCTGAACTGCATGACAATAATAACACTGTCAGCTGTGGTGACCAGAGGCTAATTACCCTGAACTTGCCCTGCAGACTCTTTCTTCCGAGGCCAATTAGTTTGACACTTGCAGCATACAAAAAAAGGTAATTTTTGTGTACCCTCAGCTGCAATTTAAAAAGTTAAATCATCAACCATGATCAATCCATTGCTATATGCGGGCCTTCCCAAGCTGTTGCTGTTTCTCATTATTTTACGGTGTAATAATCCATCTAGCACCTGTCCGAGGGATGATTTGTCCTCGGTGGACGCCCTCCCAAATACATTATTACATCGCTTGGCTGCAACTCGCTTGTTCCGCTTGACATCATCCCTTCTCGTCATGCAACTTCTCGAGGCCAACTTTTGTTAACAGTCTTTAAATATACTGTATATAAAATGGTGAACTTCATACAGAATGTTAATGCAAAGTAGAGCGAGATGTAGGTGTAAGGACCAGTCAGTATAGGTGGAAGTGAATGTATTAGTGTGGAGGTGGTTTAGGATGGTGTTTGAGCGCGTGTATCTGATGGTGTGCAGTGTGTGTGTGTCTACTGGTAACACCAAGCCTGGAACAAGGGCTTTGGTGACATCACTGTCAATTAGTGGCAAATGGTGGTTGTTGTTTTTTATCTTTTGGTGTGCAGCAAGTGTACGTGTGCGTAGCTGGTGCAGTAAGGGGTGTGCTGTTTAGAGTGTGTAGCTGATGTTGATAGGGTTGTGTGTTTTGCATATAGCTACTGCGGTGTATCTGGTGCTGCAGGGTGCATGCATGTCAGTGTCCGTGTGTTCGGAGCCGGTGTTTCAAGGTGTGTGCAGGTGTGCGTCGTGTGGGTATCTTATTCTTTGAGGTGTGTTTGGGCACGTGTGTAACTGATTGTTTAAGGTGTGTGTGCAGGTGTGTGTGTGTGGTCTGGAGCTGTATGGTGTGTGCACGTGAGTGTGCACGCGGTGTTGTGATGGACTTGACTTGATCACAGCTGCGTTGCGTTAGCATGAGGCCCGTGCGGGGGGGGGATTGTTTTTTTGTGAACACGTCAAACACCCACTACAACTCACCCTGTAGGCAAAAATGTACATTTTTTTGTATTTTAAAGGTCATGTGAGGATTCTCTCCATGTCCCTCCAATTATTTTTACTTTCTCCAGGTGGAATTGCTCCTGGAGACGCATAATTCACCTCTTCCTCTTTCAGACTGCACGTGTACACCGTTAACACAGGGAGTTCAGCTCATAGACCACGATCAGATGTTGTGGGATGCACCCTCCATCCTCCTGGAATAGCACAAAACAAACACAAAGATCCCCCTATTTAGCCTGAAGCAGTCTGTTGGTGCTCGCTAACAGCACTTGCCCAGTCTGATCAAACCCTACAAAGATCTGCCCATGTCCATGTAGTCTTTACTGAGCTTTGGAGCGAGTTGTGTTCTCGAGCACCTATGAAGATCGGAGCTGCGCGCGAGGGGGTGGTGTAGCCAGAAACTATTCCTGGACGTCTTTGTCTTCCCAATCGTTATGTTTATCATACAGACAGATGCATGCCAACTTACATACACATGAATGCACAAACACGCATGAAGTCAAAGATCGCCCGTATAGCCGTTTAGAGACCACTGGGACAAGTCCAAAAACCTACTAACATGAAAAACCCACTAACATGAAAAACCCACTAACATGAAAAACCCACTAACACGAGTACACAGGTGTGCATCAACATGGACGCACAAACATCCACATACGCAAATGTTGAATTCACTGCATCGTCATACATACAAATTGCCTTTAAAATAACCTCTTATTATTATCCGCGCTCACGATGCCTTTATGTTTTTTGGTGTGATGGGTGTGAAGGGCCCTCCTCATTCGTAAAATGTAGCACGTAAAAACGACACACCTATGTGTGTGGAGGTAGGTATGTGGATTATATACATATCTTTACGTAAAAGGATCGTAACTCGTATATAAATGGGGTGATTACTGTGTTGTATAAATTATCCAATGTGTTTTTCTGGATCTACCACTTGTTGTCTGGCATGCGCCTGATGTTTTGTTCCCAGTACTGACTTAAGTTTGGTTGAAGACGTTCACAAGCACGCGTAGCGAAACGTCGGCCATCATGCCGAACGAATATGCGGTGCAATCCGACAATACATGTGTGTCTGTTGTACACCATTCTTGCCATGCTGCATGATGAAGTACGTAAGCTCGCGATCGCGCGTCTTTCACATGACGCTTTTGCCATGATTAACGAACGACCTCTTCTAAGATGATCTGTCCAGCGTGGAAGAGTAGGCCAAATACCCTATAGAAGAGGTGCTCTGTAGAGCTAAATCTAGTTCTTCAGAGCTCTCCGTAGTGGAAGCCCTTTCTCCAGCGGTAGAGTGATAAAGACATTGCAGAGGATGCACCTTTAATAACCCTTTTGTGATCAAAGACGCAACCCTCGCAGCGAGTGGCGAAAAGGGCCCCACCAAATTGTCCGTCGTCGGAATGGGAGACGGCTTTTAAAATGGAGGTTAGTTCAGGTTCAGCCCCGACCCCTTTACGACCACACCTCCTCCTTTGCTGCATGTTACAAAAAAAGTCGTGGTGGGGGGGGGGGGAATGGCCGGCTCGTGGTACAGCGTAAACACATTTGGGAAGAAATGGCTTGGGAAGGGTTTAGCGGGAACCATTCCCGTGGGGGGTGGGGGGGGGGTGGTCCTGCTGTTGGCTCGCCTCCATCAGACCGTCGTTGGACTGCCCGGGGGCGTTTGCTGCCGTGCGCCCGTCAAGCCCCCATTGGTGGCTTGAGATGTGGCGCTCAACGCTGACCCGGGGTTGAACCGGAGGGGTCGCGCGACTCGAGTGACCAGCCATCCTGACCCTGTGGCTGGCGGCAGTGACTGAGCTGCGTTTAAACAAACAGCCGATTTGTAAAGTGCGGTGCCTCTGCCGAAGCCAAACCGAACTCCCCACCCCCCAGCTGCAAAGTTGAACGACTTGGTGGTTGGATGCGTCGGAGGGAGCCGTGGTTCTTAATGCGTCTTTTTTTACGTAAAGGTGCTCGTTTAAAGCCAATGGCTTAGTATTTAAAGTCGGTTTAATAACGAATAAACAACAACGCCTTTACGAATCATTGATAGAGGGCTGGAAGGGGTCGCTTTAAGTTGAGCATTATTATTGGTGGCTTTGTTGTGCTGCGCAAGTCTTGAGTGTTTTTTTTCTCCCCAAAAAGCCACATTAAAAGGTTACGGATTGCAACGTCTCAAAGAGGCTTAGCGCTCGGGGACTTGATCCCCTTGCTCTTTGATCAGCGTTTAACAGCCACAACAGATACACGGTAGATGCAAGGAAAGGCACAGGGACCGTGCGCTCCCTTCACGTGTGTTTTGTAAAAATTTGAGCAGCTAGAGAGGCCACCTACTTGCAACCTGAAAGTGAAACTCCTGGGTATCCACCAGGTTTAGCTTATATGGGCCGTGTGTGTGTGTGTGTTTGTGAAGGACGAAACGTGCGCAAAATCACTACTCCATTCAGCTTCGATTTATCTTCAGCATCAGCTGAGGCCTTAGCTCTCCCGTGTGCTCTGATGGTTGTGATACTGTATGTGCTGTTCGGCATGGAACCGGAGATTGTGCCGTACAACGCCTGGTACAACTTGAACACTGGAGAGCTAAACTATACAGTACAAGCTCAGCCAAGGAATGGAACGCGCCAGGGAGGATACCCTCCGAGGAGATGGAGCGATGAAATCTGTTAATATTCAGGCGCTAAGTGCATTATTACAATGCGGGAGCGTGAGAGGTGGTGGCAGCGGCTTGCGGCGGCTTTCATCCGCCAATGGATTGATTATGGCTCATGATTATTTTACAGCCGGCAAAGCCCAAAGTAGTACCGTTAAGGCATTTATATGATGTTTGTACGGTGACTGCGGATAAGGGCATGCAGAATACATGCTTGATTAAGCGTTGCTTTATGGAGTTGCATTGACTTGATTGGCACTTAGTTCGGCTATGGTCAATAAATGTGTTTATTTAAATACGTTATTTATAAATGAATAAATGTCATCGTGTGTGTTGGGCATCAGACTGTGTAAGGATAGCTTGGGCGAGCAGACGCATTAATAACTGGTCTCAACACACATTCAGACGTACATTTTCCTCCCCTTCATACCTGGATGTTGGGTGTATCTGTGGGGCATTTACAAAAAATATAAATATCGCAGCAAAT